CTCATGTTAACTTGTAATCCCCAGGGGCTGGGGAGGTGGGGGCCTGGTAGGGGTGTTTGGGTCACAGGGGTGGATCCACTCCAGGAATGGCTTAGTGCTGTCTTGTGATAGTGAGTTCTCGAGATCTTGTCATTTTTAAAGTGGTGGCATTCCCCCTCCCCCCACACACATTCTCATTCTCTCTCTCTCTCTCCCCCTGACTCGCTCCTGCTTTCACCATGAGATACACAAGCTCTCCTTTGCCTCCACCACAAGTAGAAGCTTCCTGAGGCCTCTCTAGAAGCCGGGTAGATGCCAGCACTATGCTTCCTGCAGAGCCTGCAGAACCAAGAGCCCAGTAAATCTCTTTTCTGTATAAATTACCCAGTCTCAGGTATTTCTTTATGGCAGCACAAGAGTGGCCTAATACTGATGGCTTTCAATGGCCTGAATGGTATAGAAATAAACATAGCTGTAATGTAGGGCTGTGCGTATGCATATGTCTCAACTCATCACTTAGAAGGCCTGGGATCATCTCAATAGCAGTGAGTCGACTTAGCGCCTGGGTCTCAGATTTCTAAACAGCAGCCTTGATTACAGGAGCAGAGCTCATTAGAAATGACTGATTCAGGAGCTAGGGCAGAAAGTCAAGATTAACTGGATCATCTTGTTGTCCCAGAAAAAATAAGGAAGTGCTTAAGAACAACGGAGACACATTCCAAGCTGGACTAAGACCAAGAGAGAGAGAGAAGGACTAACATCAGAAACGAAAGTAGGCACGTTACTACTGACCTTGCAGAAACAAAAATATGCATGAAACACGGAAACATATGACTTCCTTTAACTTCATTCTCCTCCTTTACTTCTGGTGGTCAAAATTAGAAGCAAGAGTTTGGGAACACTTTGCTAAAAGGGTTTCTATTCACTACTGCAGCTATAAGCTAAGCTATACATATATAGATATAGATGATACAGATAGATAGAGAAGAAAGATAGATAGATAGATAGATAGATAGATAGATAGATAGATAGATAGATAGATAGATAGATGGATGAGACAGACAGAAGACCCGGTCTCACTTTGTCACCCAAGCTGGAGTGCAGTGGCGTGAACATGGCTTACCGCAGACTTGACTTCCTGGGCTCAATGCCATCTTCCCGCCTCAGCCTCCAGAGTAGCTGGAACCACAGGCGTGCGCTACCACGCCTGGCAAATTTTACAATTTTTTTGTAGAGTAGAGTACAGCCATGTTGCCCAGGCTGCTCTCAGGCTCTTGAGCTCAAGCAATCTGCCTCAGCCTCCCCAAATTGTTGGGATTACAGGCGTAAGCCACCATGCCCTGGCCAATTGCAGCAATAATATTCTTTTGCAAAAAAATTTGTTCACTGTTGGTACCGAAGAGCTGTTGAACATCCTATTATTGGACAGGAAGCATTTGTCATGGTACAGGCCAGGGTTTTCTGCCCCAATCAGGGTAGCCCCTGGGATTGGGGGCCCACTCAAGGCAAGTGTGGAGGGCGTCTGGGGACCAGTGTGAAGCATGATCCTCCACTGAGCGCAGCAGTGTCCGGCACAAGGAAGTTTTGTGGAGTAAGGAAGGGAGTCGGCGAGGGTGACAGTGTCCTGGGGAGGGGTCAGGGGTCCAAGAGAGGAACGTGTGCCAAGTTGGGTGGTAACCTGATGGGCTCAGATGATTGATTGGCTTTGCAGTAAATATATGAATGATGTAGGGACCTGGCTTTCTCACCATTTGGAAAAGGAGTTGCAGATATGAAAAGGGAGAAGGCTCGAATGTGGGTTCGATTTGGAGTTGTTGGTGTGAACTCATTGATCTAGTCTGAATGTCTGTCCCCACCCAAATCTCATGTTAACTTGTAATCCCCAGGGCTGGAGGTGGGGCCTGGTAGGGGGTGTTTGGGTCACGGGGGTGGATCCCTCAGGAATGGCTTAGTGCTGTCTTCGTGATAGTGAGTTCTCGAGAGATCTTGTCATTTTAAAGTGGGTGGCATTCCCCCCTCCCCCCCACACACATTCTCATTCTCTCTCTCTCTCTCCCCCTGACTCGCTCCTGCTTTCACCATGAGATACACAAGCTCTCGCTTTGCCTCCCACCACAAGTAGAAGCTTCCTGAGGCCTCTCTAGAAGCCGGGTAGATGCCAGCACTATGCTTCCTGCAGAGCCTGCAGAACCAAGAGCCCAGTAAATCTCTTTTCTGTATAAATTACCCAGTCTCAGGTATTTCTTTATAGCGGCACAAGAGTGGCCTAATACACTGATGGCTTTCAATGTACAGATAGGTATAGAAATAAACATAGCTGTAATGTAGGGCTGTGCGTATGCATATGTCTCAGCTCCATCACTTAGAAGGCCTGGGATCATCTCAATAGCAGTGAGTCGACTTAGCGCCTGGGTCTCGATTTCTAAACAACAGCCTTGATTACAAAGAACAGAGCTCATTAGAGAAATGACTGATTCCAGGGCTAGGGCAGAGAAAGTCCAAGATTAACTGGATCATCTTGTTGTCCCAGAAAAATAAGGAAGTGCTTAAAGAACAACGGAGACACATTTAGCTGGACTAAGACAGAGAGAGAGAGGACTAACATCAGAAACGAAAGTAGGCACGTTACTACTGACCTTGCAGAAATAAAAGTATGCATGAGAGCACGGAAACATATGACTTCCTTTAACTTCATTCTCCTCCTTTACTTCTGAGTTGGTCAAGAATTAGAAGCAAGAGTTTGGGAACACTTTGCTAAAAGGGTTTCTATTCACTGCTGCAGCTATAGCTAAGCTATACATATATAGATATAGATGATACAGATAGATAGAGAAGATAGATAGATAGATAGATAGATAGATAGATAGATAGATAGATAGATGGATAGAGACAGACAGAAGACCGGGTCTCACTTTGTCACCCAAGCTGGAGTGCAGTGGCGTGAACATGGCTTACCGCAGACTTGACTTCCTGGGCTCAATGCCATCTTCCCGCCTCAGCCTCCAGAGTAGCTGGAACCACAGGCGTGCGCTACCACGCCTGGCAAATTTTACAATTTTTTGTAGAGAGTAGGTACAGCCATGTTGCCCAGGCTGCTCTCGAACTCTTGAGCTCAAGCAATCTGCCCAGCTCAGCCTCCCAAATTGTTGGGATTACAGGCGTAAGCCACCATGCCTGGCCAATTGCAGCAATAATATTCTTTTGCAAAAAATTTGTTCACTGTTGGTACCGAAGAGCTGTTGAACATCCTATTATTGGACAGGAAGCATTTGTCATGGTACAGGCCAGGGTTTTCTGCCCCAATCAGGGTCTGATGTTAGGAGGTACGTGGAGAGATGGGTAACCCTAACAGTGTCACCGTTTTCTTACTTTCCCCCAACAACTCATCTCATTTATTCATGTTTGTGTTTTGCAGACAATCGGAAATAACACGTCACAGTTACAAGCACCATTACATATAGTGGTAGTTTTTCTGATCCTAGACAAAGACCACTTGAATTTATTACAACCCCTATCAGCCATGGTACTTTGGGCCAGTCACTCAGCCTCTCTTAGGTTTAGTTTCCACGTCTATGAATAGGATGACAATCATATTCTGCATGCTTGCTCTGAAGATGGAAAAGATCATTTCCCTTTTTTTAGAGTCAGGGTCTCGCTCTGTCGCCCAGGCTGGCGGGAGTGCAGTAGTGCGATCACGGCTCACTGGAGCCTCGACCTCCTGGACTCAAGTGTTCCTCCCATCTCAGCCTCCTGAGTAGCTGGGACCACAGGCAAGAGCCACTGTGTCTGGCGGAAAAGACAGTTTTTATAATGACTTTTATCTCTTTTATTTCTTAACAAAACCATGTTTTTGTTCACTACTTCAAGGTGAATGATGTCCTTCCGGTTCCAAATCTAGTGTCTGATTTGAGTGCTAGCTAGCCACTGGATAGATGCTGGAGGAAAAACAACTGTTCTCTGATTTGATTTTATGCTTAAGCAGATTTTCTGGAAGCTTGCACACCTGTTATCTTTGAAAAAATAAATCGGTTATTGGTTAATTTTTTCCCCAAACAGTGATACAATGAGTTATGATTATAACATGACATACGTGTACCTCAAAATCATTGTGTAGTACAAATCGCAAAACTTACAGGAAAAATGGGGTTGGGGCACAATACTCAAAACCTTTGTCAGTGACACATAAAATAAGAAGATGGGAACCTAGTAACAATGGTAGCACAGTTCTATGCATGTTAAATGGCTAAAAATACTTAAGTGCTGCAGCAAGTATGGCACCTCACCTTGAATAAGACCTGAAGTTTGCTTGTGGAAATGGTGGTGGAAGGGTTGCAGGCCATGAATTGGTGAAAGGAGGGTGTTCTGAAACTGGACAGAAAGTTGTAACACCAGATGCGGACTAGTGTGGCTTATACTACGTGTGCTGAGCCGAGGGAGTGGAGTAAGGTGGGAATCCCCTGGGAATTTAAGTAAACACTGATCAAAATGTTTGTTTAAAACCAATTCTCTTGTATTCATTATGTTGGCATTTAGGAATGAAGTGATGTTTCCAGGACCTATGTTGATTGAAAGACCAAAGATTTTGTACCTGTTGGGTCTACGTCTTTACAGTACAGTAAATTTGTAAACTCAGAAGAGTTTAAAGATTCAGTCAACAATTGGGTATTTAGCAAGGCACTCTGGGAAACGGAAAAACTATAAGACAGTCTCTGCCTCGGGGCGACCAACTACTTTTTAAAAATTTAACTGGAGTGTATATGAAAGAGGAAATGGAGGCGGCCTGGTGCAGTGTGGCTCACGCCTGTAATCCCCACACTTTGGGAAGCCGAGGTGGGAGGACCGCTTGTGTCCAGGAGTTTGAGACTAGCCTGGGCAACATAGTCAGATGCCATCTCTACGAACCATTTTAAAAAATGAGTCGGGCGTGGAGGTGCGCACCTATAGTCCCAGCTACTTGGGAGGCTGAGGTGGGAAGATGGGTTGAGCACAGGAAGTCAAGGCTGCAGTGAGCCATGATTGCACCACTGCACTCTGACCTGGGTGACACAGTGAGACCTTGTCTCCAGAAAAAACAACAACAAAAGGAGGAAATGAAAATCTAGAAAAATACGTGAAATCTTTTCCTATCAAATGTTTCCCCCTAAGCTTTAATGATCCTATTTCAATAAAGGAAATATGGGATAATATTGATGACTGGCAGCATGTAGTGGTTAAGAGCACCGGACTGGGAGCTGAAGAGTCTGTGATTCCCGAATTCCTGGGCTCAAGCGATCCTCCCACCTCGATCTCCCAAACTATTGGGACTATAGGCATGAGCCAACATGCATGGCCGAGTCTGTGATTCTTTACTGGAATTGAGTGACGTGTGTTTTCTTCTTAAATGACATTGTGAATTTCCAAGATCCTTGAAATCTCTTTGCATCTCTTTCCAATTTGCCGTCACTATGCCTGAAGTTCAGCTGAAATGCTCATATTTCAGCTTAGACCATTACCTGTATTCTGATCGAATATGTTATGGCATCGAAGCTAATTTTGAGACATGGTCCCTAGGCCATGGGACCTAATGACCAGAGATGGAAGTCCATGTGCTGCTTCTGTCCCAAGGGAGATGAGTATCTGTTAGGGGCTCACTCGGGACTCTGTGCTGCTACCTGAGTGCGACGCAGATGCTGGAGACTTGAGAAGATATCACTGTAGACCCCAACCCTGTTATAGCTGATGAGGAAAAAAACTGAGACCATGTATTATTGCCCCCACAAAATGCACGTATTATATTGATAAGATGTGAACAATATATTATTCCTCAATATTCTGCAAGTTGCCTTTCCATTTTGTTGATCGTTACTGAATTCTTCCACCCCCAAAAAGGATTATATGAGAAGATGGTGAACAATTGTTTGCCAACACATTAGATAACCTAGATGAAGTGGACAAATTCCTAGAAATGTACAAACTATGAAAACTGACTCAGGAAGAAACAGATTTCATTTCCTTCAGCTCTATACCCAGAAGTGGATAGCTGGATCGTATGGTAGTTCTATTTTTAATTTTTTGATGGACATTCACAGGCCTGGAGGCCGAAGAGGGAAGAAAGGATTTTTGGACCCGGCCCAGGACCCTGCTGGCCTGCGCACCCTCGGGACACTGCTATCTGTGCCCCAGCTGCTCCAGCTTCAGCCATGTCTAAAAGGGCCCCAGATACACTTCTGGCTGCTGCCCCAGAGGGTGCAAGCTGTAAGCCTTGGTGGCTTCCATGTGGTGTTAAGCCTGCGGGTATGCAGAGGGCAAAAGCTGAGGCTTGGGAACCTCTGCCTACATTCAGAGGATGTATGGAAACACCTGAATGTCCAGGCAGAAGTCTGCTGCAGGGATGGAGCCCTCCTGGGGAAACTCAACTAGGGTAGTGTGGAAGGGAAACCTGGGGTTGGAGTCCCTACACAGAGTCCCCCCTGGGGCACTGCCTGGTGGAGCTGTGAGAAGGGGGCCACCGTCCTCCAGACCCCAGAATCGTAGATCCACCGGCAACTTGCATTATACTCCTGGAAAAGCTGCAGACACTCAACACCAGCCCAGGAGAGCAGTCGAGGGGGCTGTATCCTGCAGAGCCACAGAAGCGGAGGTGCCCAAGGCCTTGGGAGCCCACCCCTTGCATCAGTGTGGCCTGGATGTAAGACATGGAGTCAAAGGAGATTATTTTGGAGCTTTAAGAATTAATGACGATTTTCTGCTGTGCCCGCCCACACATGTAGTTTCCTCCGCACGTGCGTGCCTTCCCTCCTCCCGGCCTTCAGGGTCCGTGGCCACCATGGCGTATTAGGGGTAGCAGTGCCTGTGGCAGCATTGGTCTTTGCAGTGGTGGCAGCAGCACCAGGCTCTGCAGTGGCACCCACCGGCGGCTTAAGCCATGGCACTTCTCACAGCATTCAGCAGCAGCATTGCTGTAACTGACAAAGACACCTTCGAATTAAGCACATTCCTTGATTCCAGCAAAGCACTGCACCATGACCAGGATGAGCTTCCTGAGCAGTGAGGTGTTGGTGGGGGCTTGATGTCCCCCTTTGACCAGTCAGGTTTGGGGACTGAAGAAAGCCTAGGTCTCTTAGATGACTACCTGGAGGTGGCCAGGCACTTCAAACCTCATGGGTTCTCCAGCAACAAGGCTAAGGCAGACTCCTCCGAATGGCTGCCTGTGGATGGGCTGGTCAGTGCCTCCAACAATGGCAAGGAGGATGCTTTCTTTGGGACAGACTGGATGTTGGAGAAAACGGATCTGAAGGAGTTCGACTTTAATGCCCTGTTGGGTATAGATGACCTGGAAACCATGCCAGATGAGCTTCTGGCCACGTTGGATGACTCGTGTGATCTCTTTGTCCCCCTAGTCCAGGAGACTAATAAGGAGCCCCCTCAGATGGTGAACCCGAATTGCCATCTCCCAGAAAGGTGAACAAAACCCAACCAGGTTGCCCCCTTCACCTTCTTGCAACCTCTTCCCCTTTCCCCAGAGGTCCTGTCCTCCACTCTAGATTATTCCTGTAGTCTAGAGCTGGGAAGTGAAGCGGATAGCTCTGAAGGAGATAGGAAGCCAGACTTCACTGCTTACATTTCCATGATCCCTCAGTGCATAAAGGAGGAAGTCACTCCCTCAGATAATGATAGTGGCATCTGTATGAGCCCAGAGTCCTATCTCAGCTCTCCCCAGCACATCCCCTCTACCTCCAGGGGCTCTCCAAGTAGGAGCCTGCCATCTCCAGGTGTCCTCTGTGGCTCTGCCTGTCCCAAACCTTATGACCCTCCTGGGGAGAAGATGGTATCAGCACAAGTAAAGGGTGAGAAACTGGATAAGAAGCTGAAAAAATGGAGCAAAAACAGAACAGCAGAAACTAGGTATCACCAGAAGAAGAGGGTGGAGTAGGAGGTCCTCGCTGGTGAGTGCAAAGCCCTGGAAAAGAAGAACGAGACTCTGAAAGAGAGGGCAGATTCCCTGGCCAAGGAGATCCAGTACATGAAAGATTCGATAGAAGAGGTCTGCAAGGCAAGAGGGAAGAAAAGGGTCCTCTAGTTGAGGGTAGTCAGGAGCATCAGTGTGCTTGTACACAGGAGTCTCGTGCTGTAGCTGTGTGTTTGAATAAATTATTTTGTAATGGGAAAAAAAAAAAGAATTAATGGCTGTCCTGTTGGGTTTTGGACTTGCATGGGGCCTGTAGCCCCTTTGTTTTGGCCGATGTCCCCCTTTTGGAAAGGGAGTCTTTACCCAATGCCTGTACCTCAATTGTATCTTGGAAGTAACTGACTTGCTTTTGATTTTACAGGCTCATGGGCAGAAGGGACTTGCCTTATCTCAGATGAGACTTTGGACTGTGGAGTTTCGAGTTAGTGCTGAAATGGGTTAAGACTTGGGGGACTGTTGAGAGGAGATGATTGTATTTTGCAATGTGAGAAGTACATGAGATTTGGGAGGGGGCAGGAGTGGAATGATATGGTTTGGATTTATGTCCCTGCCCAAATCTCATGTTGAATTGTAATTGTAATCCAACTGAATTGTTGGAGAAGGAGCCTGGTGGGAGGTGATTGGATCATGGGCGTTGGGAATTGTAATTGTAATCCAACTGAATTGTTGGAGGAAGGGCCTGGTGGGAGGTGATTGGATCATGGGCGTTGGTTTCCCCTTTGCTATTCTCATGATAGTGAGCTCTCACGAGATCTGGTTGTTTAAAAGTGTGTAGCATCTCCCCCTTCACTTTCTCTTTCTCCTTCTCTGGCCATATAAGATGTGACTCCTTCCTCTTTGCCTTCTGCTATGATTGTAACTTTCTTGAGGCCTCCCCAGCCATGCTTCCTGTAGAGCCTGCAGAACTGTGAGTCAATTAAACCTCTTTTCTTTATGAATTACTCAGTCTCAGGTAGTTCTTTATAGCAATGCGAGAACAGACTAGTACCGTCACTATTGATGAGAATGTTGAGCTATAGGTACTCTCATACATTACGGTGGAAGCGAAAATTGGCTCAAACCACTTGGGAAAACATGGCATTATCTAGTAAATTTCGAGATATGTATTGCCTGTGATACAGCAATTCCAAAAAGAAACTTGGACATGTGCTTCAAGAGACCTGTACAAGTATGTTCATAGCCAAGGGATGGAAACTATCCAAATGCCTGCCCATCATCAGCAGAATGGATAAATTAGAGGACTATGAAACTCTGCCGTAATGTAATAGGTAGTTTCCAAGAACTCCAATCACATACAATGTGAAACTGTGTTACTGTGGGGTTAATGAAGTGAACGAGGCAAGCCTACTGGACCATCCAAATCTGTCCTGATCCCGGCTGGAGTTTGATGCCATCTAGTGGCAGATGTTGCTCTGGCTGAAATATTGATGGAGGAGATTTCCGGCCCAGTGGCTGACTGAGACTTCCAGGACAGTGGCAGTATCTCCGGGAATCTCTCAATCAGTTAGGACTTCTTTCCTTGACTTGATCTGGTGATAATAGGCCGGGAAAATAATGGGGACCAGGAGACCCTCCCTCTGTCTTCCTGCTTCCTAAGACAGGGTCACATGTACTTTACTCTCCCTTCCCTGACCTGTTGAAGGTAAGAACTTTAGCCTGCCTCTGTCTGAGAATGGGGACTGAGCAGAGGATGACAGGAAGGATGGCAATCACTAAGTGGGTTATGTCTCATTTTCAGCTATTCCGGGTGTAATTGTGTTATCAAGTTGTGTTCTCTGGTTTTTAAAATTCATCATTTAATGAAATATATGCAATGAAATACAGTAGTGAAAATAATGAACTGGAGGTACACGCAAGAGCTTGGGTGAATTTTTCTTTCCTGTAAGTAAAAACATTTTTAACTGATGTATGATAACTCCACATATTTATGGAGTATATGTGATATTTTGATACATGCAGACGCACACACTATGTAATGATCAAGTCGGGGTATTTAGGATATCCACCACCTCAAGCATTTATCATTTCTTTTTTGGGGGAACATTTCCTATCTTTTAGCTATTTTGAAATATACAATAAATAGTCCCTCTACAGTGCTATCAAACACTAGAACTTACTCCTTCTATCCAACTATATGTTTGTCCCCAGTAACCTCCCCACCCTCCCCACCTTTCCCAGTCTCTGGTAACCATTATTCTGCTCTACCTCCAAAAGATCAACTTTTTTAGTTTCCACGTGAGTGTCAATATGCTTTTCCCGGGTGCAGAGGCTGCTGATTCCTGGATTTGGACGGTGGGGGAGAGTGGTTTGGATTGCAGTACCTCCCCCTTCCTCAGGGCTAGACCCTGTCCGGTCACCTCCTGTTGCCACAGGTGTGCCTGGCACAGACATCCAGCTCCCAGGGCCGTGCCGCCCTCACCCCTGCATGCCTCTAGAGGTACCTGTCCCGTGGATTTGACCCCCCTTCCGGACACACAAGTAGATCAGCACCCAGCAGACACAGGGTCACCTCCCAGCTCCCCACCAGGTAAGAGCGACCAGGACAGGGACTGATACTGCCGAATCCAGGAGCCAGGCCCAACCCAGCCTCAGGTCCAGCAGGTCCCGCCTGTCCACCTGCGCCGGGCCTAGAGCCCGGGAGCCCCTGGCTGCTGGGAGGCCACCCGCAACCCACCCCACACGCAGCTCCAGCTCCCCCACCAGGCGGGGCGACTAGGACAGGGACAGAGCCTGTTGAACCCAGGAGTGAGACCCGGCCCTGGGTCCTGCTGGGCCCTCCCGTCCACCTTGGGTGGACCTGGCACATGGGCGACCTTGGCTGGCAGGAGGTCACTCCCACCTGACATGCGGTTCCAGCTACCCCACCTGGCTGGGCGACCGGGACAGGGACAGAGGCTGCTGAACCCAGTTAGAGGCCTGGCCCCGGGGTCTGTCCTGGACGCTCCCCCAAGGACAGGCAGGATAGGCAGGGTCCGGGACGACGGCCGCACGGCCCCGGCCCTGTGTTCCCAGGCCCGCCTTGCTCCTCGATGTGAGGAAGACCAGGGAGACGGGACAGGCTGGGCCCCGCGGTACCGGACTACCTGCAGGGCTCCCGGGACAGGGGCCTGGTGGATCGCCGGCTGCTCAGGGGTGACGGGTCCAAGCTGGCATGGCGGCCACCTTCCGGCCTGGGCTCTCTTGGGGAGGGGCAGGGTTGGCGAGAACCAGTCATGTGCTCCAGGGCTCGCTCGGGGTCTCCCAGGGCCGGAAGTAGGGCCCCTGTGCGCAGGCGCCCTGAGGATCCCAGGCTGCCCCTCTCACGCCAGGGGGCGGAACTTCCTGCAGCCTCACTGCCTCCGCGTCCTCGTGGGCCCCGACTTTGTCTCTGAGCGCGCCACAGAGGCCCAGGAGCCATGCAGGCCTCAGGCCAGGGCACAGGGGGCGCGGCGGGCGATGCTGATGGCCCAGGGGGCCCTGGCGATCCTGGTGGCCCAGGGGGCGATGCTGGCAGCCCAGGAGAGGCGGGTGCTGCGGGCGGCGGAGGTACTCAGGGCATCGCGGCAGCAAGGGCCTCAGGGCCAGGAGGAGGCGTCCCTCGTGGGCCACGTGGTGGCCCGGCTTCATGGCTGAATGGATGCTGCAGATGCGGGACCAGGAGGCCGGACAGCCGCCTGCTTGAGTTGTATCCTGTTCTGTTCTGTTCTGTTCTGTTCTAGACAGTTCTCGTGGCGGGATGGGGGCCGGGAGATGGGGAGGGCAGGGCCAGGTGGGGGAGGAGGCGGGGGAGATGTGAGTAAGGGGTTGGGTGGGGGTGGGGGTGGGAGTTGGGAGGTGGGGATACGGGAGGCCAGCTGTGAGGAGGGCAGCAGGTAAGGGCTGGGAGGTAGGGGGTGTGCAGGGTGGGGGAGAGGGGATGGGTGATGGGGTTAGGGGCACTGGGTCATGCAGGAAGGGGGGCAGGGGCCAGGAGATAGGGGGACCCGGGTGTAGGAGGGGATCAGGAGGTGGGGGGAAGGGGGCAAGATGGGAGCGGGTGGCGGGAGGTGGGGAGAGGGAGGGTTGGGTGACGAGGAGGGGGCCAGGTGATGCGACAGGGGGCAGGGTGGGGAGGGGCCTTGTAAGGGCATGGAGGAGTCACCTTGGGGTGCAGCAAAGGAAAGTGTGGAACCAAGACAGCTGAGTGGGATGTGCTACTGGGCCAGTGCCTGGGGAGACAGCCTGGGGGGGATGAGCTGGGCAATCGGGGGTGGGGGTGAGGAGTGGGGAAAGCTGACCTGGGGTAAGCAGCAGGCCGGAGGCACAGGCCACGTCCTAGGAGATGATGCCTTAACTGGGCCCCCACCAGCTACCTCACCATGCCTTTCCCGACACCCATGGAAGCAGAGCTGGCCCACAGGAGCCTGGCCCGGGATGCCCCACCGCTCCCCGTGCCAGGGGTGCTTCTGAAGGAGTTCACCGTGTCTGGCAACATACTGACTATGTCAGTTCAGGACCAGGACAGGGACGGGGCCTGGGTGGGTGGCCTGCGCAGCGTGGCAGGGTGGGGGCTGGGATCCGCCTACACCCCACGGTCAGGTTTCTAGAGACCTGGGAACACCCCAGCACAGGGTCTCAGAACAGAGACCTGGTGCACCAGGCCCGCCACCACCCGAGGGAGCCCGGGGAGATGGGTGCAGAGGTGTCACCTTTAATGTAATGTTCTTCGCCTCTCACATTTAGCCGACTGA